TGTTTGTAGCTAGAAAATGACTGCATTATGACAAATGCATGATTGGGAAGTTACAGGAAGATGATCATTATTGAGAATGAAACTGGAACTCATTTAATAGCTCCAACCAGCAGCTGGAATGAAGCAAATGAATGTCTTCCTGTTTTTATTGTCGCAGGCAGGTTTTTCAGGCAGGAGGAACATTTGTGCTAAACCTAAAACTTCTTGTACCTTTCTTTGCTCGCCGGGTTTCCGTCGAAACAATAGAGAGGCGATGCGGAAAGCGGCTCGTTTCCTACCTGGGAGTCCCCCCCCCACCCCCCGCCGCCCTATGCGGTTAATGCCACTATTTGAAAACCAGGAGCGTGGCCGGGAGAGCAATCGGTTAGGGGTACGTGGGGTCCCGGCGCCGCGTGGGCTGGGCCAGCCCCCAGGTCTCCCCGGCAGGGGCGGGAGGGGCCCCCGTAAGCAAGCCTGGCCTCCCGCGCCCTCCTGCTGCTGCGGTGCGGTCCCGCGAGCCGGGACAGGGGTGGGGCAGACGGTGGGGACAGGACCCCAGCGCCCTGGGCCAGCAGCCCCCCTGCAGCGGCCGCAGCCCCTCTGCCACCCCACCCCCATCCCCACTCCAACCCAGAGGTGGCCTCTGCTCGTGGCTCCTGCTCCCCGGGCACCCTCAGGGGCAGGTTCCCCCACAGCCGAGCCCCAGGCATGGACATAGTAGCTGCTTAATAAATGCCAGGCGAGCGGCCCGGACTTCAGACCGTTTGGCGCTATTCCTTCCTGGCGTTGCCCTTTCTAGAGCACTCGCTGGCCCCGAACATAACGTGTTTCCAGCCTGAGATTTCGCTCGTGCACTGCCGGCCCGGAGGCCTCGAGCGTGGCCCCTGCCTCGGCTGCGTTGGGTTTGTACCTGGCACGACTTGCCGTTGGAGTCCACTAAAAAATCCTGAACATTTTGGGGGTCTCAGGGCAGGGCCGGCCGACGAGGCCAGGCCCCCGGAAGGACAACTGAAGCTGCGGCTGTCACGAGGAGGAGCGTGGCGGCCACTCCGGCCGGCGGTAGCTCCTAATTGCGGCGGCCGGTCGGGCCGCGGGCGCAGCTGCCGCTCTGAGCCGGCCGCCACTCTCCGCTGCCACATTAGCTCCAGCGATCCCAACTTGAACTGACATCACAGACCGTTAAAATTTTATCAATTGCGCGATGATTAATCCCCCAGTACACGGGCACGACTTAAATATTTAGAATGCTGCTTCTGTTATGACTTTAATGCATGTAAAGTAACGAGATTAACTCCAGTACACTCAAATAGATTTAAATATGTATCCGTCCCGAGCTGTAGGCGATTCCGGCGTGCAGGAATCACGGGCTCTCTGCGGCCGTGTCAGGCTCTATTTGTATGACCCGCGCTGGATGCTGGCCTGCATATGATAGCCGGATATCTGGCTTTTCACAGGCTGCCTGATTGCTTGCCCCATTTGGCATGGAATGTGATTCCTGGCCATTCTAGCTTCTGATTCATTCAGGTTTTATTGCTGTGTAATTTTCTTATTCTAAAATAAAAGCTCTCCAACAAAAATTACTATGCATTAGGCCGCGGTAGCCTACTCAAATGGATATTAATACAGTTTATCTCTAAAAGGACGAATAATGTATTTGAAACAGATAAAAGGCCCTCCACTAAATGAGGAATGTTAATATCTTATGGCACGGTTAATAAAGAGATATTTCACAAGGGAGATTTGTTTTATGACTTTTGATACAACAGCCTTATAATCTGACATATCTTAAATGATATAATTTTGCGCATACATCCATCTCTTTTATACGCAGCAGCCCCATCTTAGCGAGATTTGAATTCGGGACAAATGACGGGCGCTAATTACTTTGGGGGGAGGTGCCGGGTTCTAGAACTCAGCTTCTCGGACGCAGATACGCGGAAACCCGCGCAGTGAAGTTGGAAGCTTATAACGCGTTTTTTGAGAAATGTCTTGTTTACCCCCCACCCCCATTCAGCAGAAAATAACATTTGTTTTTGTTGTGTTTAAGGCAGAGTTTAAATTAATTTAACCCAGTGACACATGTTCAGAGACTAGGCAAGCTGCTAAATAATTCCTTGGAATAAATTGCTCAGGAACCAAGTACGTTAATTTACGGCTCTCCTGATGCTGACAGATGTGAGGGCGGTAGGAGGACCTCCAAATATTAACATAAAACAAATTCGCTTTATTCTTTTTCATATTTCTTCTTCATCCCCGCCTTGAGCTCACCCAAGGCTCCCTCTCTAATTATCCGCGAGGTCAGTAAGCAAAATTGGGAAGAAGCTGGGAGATCAATACAAATTATTCCTCAGCAAACCAGTGGTGACAGTTTGAATTGCAGCATATGTTTACCCAAAATCAGGCAATTTATCTTAATATCAGCAAAGTAATGCAGTGCAGGTGAAAGGTCAGGCAATCTCTCCCCCTCATAATTACCCAGTTCTAAAACAGGAAAGTGGTATTGATTGGCCTGGCTCGGTGCTCTGTGACTGGACGTGCCGGAGCCTTGCCCTGGCTCGGCTGGGCCCTCGCCTTGTAAACTCGGCACGCCGAGGATTTATTAGATGTGTGCGCGGGGCCGGGCGCTTTCTCCTCCAGTCGCAGAATTTGCCGGCCAAGTCCACGCGGCTGCGGGGTTCCCGGCGGTTCGGCCCTGGGCAGGCGGCCGGCGGGCCCGGCGGAGGGCCGCTGCTGGGAACCCCGCCCTGGGGGATCAAACGCCTCCCGGAACCGGGAAGGCCTGAACTTCTGCCCTGGTCCAAAGGCAGGGGCCCTTCCCCCGCCCCCCCCTTCCCCTGGTTCTTCCAACATAAATTCCTCGGGCGTCCAGGAGCTGAGCGCCCCACCCCCGCCCCACCCCCAGGATGGGATTTTGGGCTGCGCCCGCAGTGCCCACCCCTACCCTTCGCGGCATCCGGCATGGCGGGGACCCCCAGTGGCCCCGTTGCCCATCCTCCCCCGAGTGCCCGGCGGAGCGGCGATCTCGTTCTTGGCGCTGCACTTGAGATGTGAGCGCTCTCTGGGCCGAGGTGGCAGGTGAAAGGTACCCTCCTCTTTGCACTGCTTTAAAATATTTCCAATCCTAGAAGAATATCAATTCAACTGAAACATTGGAAAATGTCTCTCCCAGACGAGAGTGTATGGTTATTACAAGTCATAAAGCTTCTGAAAGCTTGCATTAAAGCGTCCATCACCTGTCAGGGCCATTTGCATGAAATCAATAGTGGCCGCCCATCTATCTTTTCTGATCACCTTTCATCAGGCCGATTCATTAAGTCAAACAGTCATGGTGATTAGCTGGGAGAGAGGAGAAACCCTGACACGTTCGCAATGCACAGTGGGCCACCCTTTTTGTTCCCTAATCAAGAAATGTAATACTTTATCTAATCCTTTTTGGACCAAGTCGCTGGGTGAGGCCCATCCGCCCGGCTGCCCGCACCGCACTTTTGCCTGACACCCTTGTCCCGGCCCGGGGCCGAGACATGACAAATTGTCTCCCAAGTCAACGCTGACAGCTTCTGATGATTAATGGTTTGATTATGAAGTGGTTTTACACATATAGAATTTACATCACAGAGAGTTAGAAATTTTGCCGTGTCACATACGCCGAGGCATTTTGAAGAGCTTTACTATTTGCAAAGAAAAAAGAGGGCAAAATCGCAGCAAAAGCCATGTCATGTAAAATCAATACGTCGGATCAATGCTTTATTAACAAGAAAATGTCTTACTTCACATTCCTGTGCGGACCTTTGTCTCCGGGATGTATGATGGAATGTCAGATCATATTGTGGCCCTCAACTTACGGGCGCGTTATTGAGTGTACGTGCGAGTCTTCCGGCCCCGCCGCGTCCCAGGCCCGCCGTGGGTGTTGACACCGGCGCTCGAGGAAAACGGTGACCAATTATTTCGGAGAGCACTTTCAGAGGCAGCCTCTAACCTCGTTCCTCGAAGCCGGCGCCTTTGTGTTCCCGTGCTCTGCAGACCTGCTGAGTTGGGTGGTGTTAATCATCAAATTACATGCTGACTAATGAGTGATGGCCCAAATTGTGGGCTGCGTAATGAATAGATGGCGGCAGGTCCTATTAGTCTCAGAAAACCCCTGATTTATGTCGCGCCGTGCACCGTGGCGTTACTCCATGGAAAACGATATCTACATCAAGAAGTAATGTACTCTAATAAGTATTTTCATCTTAACTCACGTCCCCGGGCCTCCGGGCTCAGTTTTTGTTGGAGTCAGGCAGAGCCATAATAAAGCCCAATGGCTCCTTATAAAGCTTGTTAAACACAGAGTGTGCAGTCGGACGGAGTCCCGGCCGTGATTCATGCACTGTACACAGCGCGTGTGCCGCTGATTTATGGCCGCGCACAGTTCATAGTCAAAATTACAATTTGAGGGATAAAAAGATTAATTACTATTTGTGGCCGGCAATTTCGTGAGGCTGGTGGAATGATAGTGCTCTACATCAGTTTGTAGTCAGCCATTCACAGATTATTAAAGCTTTGCAAGAATAAGTGCTCCTCCTGCCTGGTTTGTGCTCAGGCAATATGCTAGACAGAAAAGGACCACAGGGATAAATCTGAAGCTAGCAATAGCTGGACATATGTCATAATTGCCAGTTTCCCATAAATCCCTGGCCAGTGTGGAAGGCACCGCGTGATGTAGACAGTGATCATGACAGTGGTGATTGCTATATATGGCCCCAAGACTTGCAACTTTCCGACTGCACTACCATTTTTACAATATATTGAGTAACCCTTTGACTCTCTTCCAGTCTAATTATAGATTAGAAATAATCTTTGCGTTTATGTGCAAAAGAAAGGGGGGAAAGCCATTCCTTGAGACAGAGCTGGCATTCGGGGGTGCGTGCCTCCGAGAGCGTCAGAAGAGGAGAGTCACACATTTATTTGTAAGCGTGCAATAAACGAGTAATGGATGACATAAAAGTAATTAACCTGACCTACATTTCTGTGTCCTGTTACAGCCCTTAATGAACCGACCATAGATTACGGCTTTCAGAGGTTGCAGAAAGTGATCCCGAGACATCCGGGTGATCCCGAAAGGTTACCCAAGGTTAGTAAAAGAGCAAGTGGCGCCCTGCGTGCAGCGGGTCGGCCACCGGGCTGGTTCCGGTTTGGGGGCAGCAGGTGCTCCGGGACGGGCGGTGCGGGTGGGGGGGGGGCGCTTCCGGGTACCCCGAAACCCGCACCCGCGCGGCGAGGCCGGCAGGTGTGGGGAGCCGCCCCGGCCTGCGCCCGGTCCGCGCCAGGTGGGCGAAGAAGGGCGAGGGCCTAGGGGGCCCAGCGGTCGCTGGTCTCGTGTCTCGTCTCCGTATGTATAAAGGAGGCAAAGACAGGCTTCTCTGATACAAATATTTTGGATTCTGCGAGGGGGACATAAACTTCTGCGTAATGAAATAGTTCAATTAAACATTTTCCACTCCAGTAGCCTGCGCTGATTTCAATCTAAGCAGCCCCAGACTGATCTGTGATTACTTGACTCTTGTTTTCCTTTCATTTTCTAAAGCTCGATTCAGTTTAATCTTTTGTTTACAAAGCTTTTGTTATAAGTCCCTGACTTAGCAGGCTAACAAATGAAGTCCACATATTAATATCGAGGGGGACTTTTCATTTAAATTCAACAAAGACAAAAGCTGCCCGTGTTGTCTGTGCACACGCCACGTATCACAGGAATTTCATTTTGATGTATAACATTAAAGATAAGTCAAGCTTATAATTTTTCCTCGCCTTTGATATAATTTCGTCTCTTTCTCTCTTTGGAAGCCATCTCTGATTTTCAAGGCAGAGTTGAAAACACAAAATGAAAAATGAAGTCATAACATTATGACTGATTATTTTACATTCCATCCCTGTGCGCACCCAAGTCTTGACCACCTCTGAGTTTTATTAACACAATAAAACCTTTTAGACATTACCTTTTTAATGCTCAGCGTGAACATAAGCAATATCATTAGGTTCCTCTTTAATTTGTGAACGTGCTAGCAGTGGATGTCAGATATTCGCTGTTAGAATC